GGCCCGTCTGGCCGGCGGACTCGCATCAAGTTCAAGTAGTGCAGGGGTGCAGCTGGAAAGGGTGCTGGAGGGCTTTCTGAACGGTCTCTTGAAAGATTTGCATGCCTTCTTGTTGCCTTCACAACTTGCGTCGCCGCTGTTACTGGGGCCGAGTCTGCCAGAAACCGGTCGCGACGTTGCAGCAGCGTCGCAGGCGTCAACGGTGGAAATGGCAGGAACAACATCTGCAAGCTCCCATGTAGGCACCGCTAGGATCTTATTGGATGCAAGATTGTGCATGATTTGCGGGATCAGACCCGCAATGCACGCGGCTGATGCTGGGTCGGGCTGCTACACTCATCATGTTTGTTGCGGGCTGCTGTCACCTCGATGCCAGCATGTTTGAGCAATTCTTGAGGTGTGTGTGTGTGTGTGTGTGTGTGTGTGTGTGTGTGTGTGTGTGTGTGTGTGTGTGTGTGTGTGTGTGTGTGTGTGTGTGTGTGTGTGTGTGTGTGTGTGTGTGTGTGTGTGTGTGTGTGTGTGTGTGTGTGTGTGTGTGTGTGTGTGTGTGTGTGTGTGTGTGTGTGTGTGTGTGTGTGTGTGTGTGTGTGTGTGTGTGTGTGTGTGTGTGTGTGTGTGTGTGTGTGTGTGTGTGTGTGTGTGTGTGTGTGTGTGTGTGTGTGTGTGTGTGTGTGTGTGTGTGTGTGTGTGTGTGTGTGTGTGTGTGTGTGTGTGTGTGTGTGTGTGTGTGTGTGTGTGTGTGTGTGTGTGTGTGAGTGTGTGTGTGTGTGTGTGTGTGTGTGTGTGTGTGTGTGTGTGTGTGTGTGTGTGTGTGTGTGTGTGTGTGTGTGTGTGTGTGTGGTGTGTGTGTGTGTGTGTGTGTGTGTGTGTGTGTGTGTGTGTGTGTGTGTGTGTGTGTGTGTGTGTGTGTGTGTGTGTGTGTGTGTGTGTGTGTGTGTGTGTGTGTGTGTGTGTGTGTGTGTGTGTGTGTGTGTGTGTGTGTGTGTGTGTGTGTGTGTGTGTGTGTGTGTGTGTGTGTGTGTGTGTGTGTGTGTGTGTGTGTGTGTGTGTGTGCGTGTGTGTGTGTGCCCATGCAACTCTCCTCCGGCCGCCTGAGCTGAAGGGCTCTTGGCGAGTTTCGGAACAGCAACAACTCGGCTCTCTGCGTCCGCATCCGTCTCGAGGCCGTCGCTGCTGTGCCGCGCGCACACGCCGCCACGCACCCAAAGCCGAGTCAAAGTCACCGGCCTCAAAGACCTGTCGCGCCGAAAGGTTCCTAGGTCCTAGAGCCCGCAAAACTAAGCCCAAGCTCGTCAAAAGCCATGCAGCACGCTACTTGGCTCGCAAGCCTCCCTTGCATTAAGCTTGCATTGTCCAGTTCATCTCCTATGCACTGTTGAAGAATCTCATCTCAGTAAGTTCCACGGCCGGCCGTGTTCCTGAGTCTTCTCAGCAGCACGAACATTTCTTCGAGCTGGCATAAGACTGCTGCACGCACGCCACACACACACAGATACAAGACGAATGGCGCTCCTCTGTACGTATGCAGTCGCCTGATGAAAGTAGATTGTGCGTCCAGCGAAGTTGCACATGCCCCCCCCAAGAAATCTGTGCGACGTGAGCAGCTTGACATGTACGCCGCTGCTCGCCTGCACTGGTGCTGCCGATGCTCCGCTGACAAGGTGTCAGATTTCGGATTCTGAGAACTCTTCAATAATATACTTTACTATAATAATGCTACGCTCTATACTAAACATACTATATATAATAATACTATAACTATAATAATACTATACGACTATACTATAATAATACTAAACTATAGTAATACTATAAGTATCAAACCTTGCAACTCCTGGGTTAAGCTCGGAGAGAAGGACCGGGCTCAGGAGGACGTGCCGGAAAATCGCGCAAGCCACCTGGCGAACTTCTGCGAAGCGTTGAAACCGCACACTTCTGGAGAGGCGGTTGCCGTCCTCGATTAAACAGATACTTATAGTATTACTATAGTTTAGTATTTTTATAGTATAATAGTATAGTATTATTATAGTATAGTATAGTATTAGAGCTGAAGAATCGCCGGCCTGGAACGTGATCCCTCTGCGCGGAATTGCCTGAAGCCGAGGCAAGGCTGGAATCCGCGACAACTCTGAGATGGCAAGCAAATAAGTACCCTAATTGGGGTTATAGGCACTTATATGTATAGTTACCTTATTTATAACCCAATGCAAGCAATGCAAAGCCCGCAAAGCCCGCAGGCCTCGATTTCCGCCATTGCCGTTCGAACCTCAAAGCATGGGAGTCTGGGTGGCATGAGCTCTGCCAGCTGTGTGTGATCTTCGTAAGTCGTGGCGGGTCTCGGTTTGGCTTGCAGCGGCTGCTTCCATACAGTGCCAAGGAGCACGATGCTCAAACAGCCCGCTGCCTGCAGTCACTCGCTGCCGTATGGAAGCCTCGACAGGCCATGATGAAACGACTCGAAATTTGCTAAACACGAAGGTACACCTGCTTGAGGACGGGCTTGTGGACGACCTTTTCTTTTATATGCATGTCCCCATGTCCCGACCAGAGATAGGCTGAAAAACGACACAGCCCAATGAGGATCCCAAGATGTCCGCAAGCAAGGCCGCGCGCACAAGCACCTCTAGTGTCGCCACCTGCTTGTGAACTTCCGAAGACACATATCTGCCATGGAAGCATTGCTGGAAACACGACATGCAGCCCACGCGTACTGCTGCGAAAAAACATGATTCAGTCTTTTTGGTGTGTCTCATCGGTACACCTGGTACCGCATGCACTTCAGCCAGTTGCTTCAATATGCCTCGCCTTTCCGAAGCTCCTAACCTCTGCTCGATAGTCCGAATCCCAAACCGTACTGCTTGAATCGATAATGCAGCGGGATCCCTGCATTCACATTCCACACTACCAGGGCCCCAGCCAAGCATGTCAGATCACGCTGAGCTTCCGAAAGGGAGGATCTTGGCCGAGCCTCGTCAAACAGGCAAGAAAGGGACGGCTCCTAGAGACGGGCGAGCATGAGACCTGCGACACACCTGTAGGCACCGGTGCTTGGGCTTGTCAGTATGATCTTTCGGAATGTCCGACGCTGACACAGCTTCCCTGCGAAGCGCCTGCAGTCGCAGATTGCTAAAGCTGATGCAGGCGCGGTACTTCGTACCACCTGGAGGGGGCTTGGCAACAAGGGTGCGTGTGGAGATTCAGGGTCTGCTCCATTGACCACTGATCCTAGAACGTCACAGACACAAGTTGGTGACATTCCGCGAAGTGGTCAAGCTGTGAATACTCAGCAGAAACTAACTACCCAAACAAATCGTCTGTTTGGAAGGTGGACTTGATGTGCCCCCGGTGCCAGAGCCCCTCAGCATGTTTCGACACCCTGGGAGGGCTTGGACGACCAGAACCGCCTGCATGTACTTCCGAGCAGAAGAACCAAACACCAAGCTGAAGCCCCACGCCCAAAGGCCTCGAGCGTGACGGCAAAAAATACCGTGCTCTGTGGCCTGCCGGTTTTGGTTTTGTACTTCGGGTGCGCCGTGCAAACGTGCACTGGATTTCTACCCTCACTCGAAAATGTTCAGTCAACCGATAACACCTAAATACAAGGAACACCCTGGTCCGTCAGAAATTTCTTGGGTCGCCGATAGCATCCAAGACAGCCTTGCCTTACCAGCCTGCTCTCGCCGCAAGCCCCGCGCTCTCTTGCGCGGCACGAGTGGTCTTGGCGATTTTGCTTGATAGGTCGGGCGAGGGATGGCGAGGAGTCGAAGGGGAGTGAGGGGCTGAATTGAAGATTCAGGAATTCTTTCGCAAAGTCCTCCATGCTGGAGCGACAGCATTATCAGCTTTTTTGGTGATCTAGCAAAAGTTACACTCTTGAAGGCCTTCTTGCACTAAACGTCGGCAAGAGCAGTCACACCCGCGGGGCACCCTCTCTTTCTTGCATCATCGCACAAAGACAGCTGTCGTCGAGAACCTTCGTAAGCAGGTTGTCCGAGGCTGTCTCGAAAGCTCCTAGCCTTCAAGCAGTCTCACAGCCCTGCACGAGATGGTGACCCGGCCCTTTCGAGCTTTTGAAAATTCAATTCGGCTGTCTGAAGGGTCTGGAAGAAAGAACCACTGTGTGGCACTTGGTCAGCTTTGAGAATGAGATGCTCCAAGCTAGCTGCATTGCGAGATCCAAGCAGGCATCGTAGAAGGCTCCGCCACTAGTGGAATCTTCCGTTCGTCCGTGGCTATGTGACTGTGTAGAAAGGGGACTGACAGAAGCTGTCGCTTGCTCCCACAAGCACCGTATTCAGAGCAAGAGGGCTCCAAGGTCGGACGTGCGGCATCGCTAGGAACAGATCAAGTCAGCCGGCTGAGTGAAGTTTGGTGAAACGCAGCAGGGCGAAGGCGACATGCGCCAAGCAAGAAACGAAGGGCGCGTGCGCAGAAGAAAAACAACTGCAAACGATTTCAATGGCCATCAGAGCTCTATCGAAGCACCCGAGCCGATGTATGAAGCCTTGACAAACTCAGGGCTGCAAACGTGCCTTCGTTGGAAAATGAGAAGGGCGGTGCTTGAAGCGAACTGGCAATCGACGACTGGTGCTGTGCACTCACGCGTCAGCTCGGCCGGCAACATGCGGCTCACAACGGGCTCTCTAAGAAAATGCAGATCGCAAGGACCCTGGCTGCCTGTTCATGAATGGCCCGACTAGAGCATATCGTGCCCGACCAAGCGTACCAGGGCTACCGTGGCAAGATCCCCCGTCCCTGTGATCATCGTGCTGCTCAGTCCATCTGTTCATGCTCGATGACGGCAGAGACTGCCTTCTGAGAAACCGCACGAGACAGGGGCAGAAAGATGCGGAAACATGCTACAGGTGAGTGACGGCCTGTGGACTCCTCTCCAAGCAGAATTGACTAGATACTGAGATGCTGTTCTACTCACTCTGGACTTCTCCCAACATTCCAAAGCCACTGCTTGGGGTGAGTCGCTGACATACGGCCGGGGCGGCTTAAAAAGTCACATTGTCTCGCAGAGCCTTCAGCTCCTGCAGGATCGAAGCCTTGCTGTGGCCCTCACAGTGACGCAGAGCTATCGAGAGGATGGCGGAGAAGTTCATGCGCCCGATCACCTGGCGCTTGAAGCCAGCTTTGAAAAGGCCTCCCCAGTCCCCTGTTCTTCCGTCCCCGCATGAAGATATGCTGGAACACCCTGAAGCCACCGGAAACACTAAGCAAGCCTAGCAGAACTACTCGCACTCTGCCCAGTGTTTGTGGCACCTGGCGCAAGTTGGCAAGCTTTCGAGACTTCGTCTGCGGGCGGCTTGGACGGAGTCCTGCCTGGACAGCCACAGCCTCGGTTGCGCCGCAGGCAAGTTGTGCACCATCGAGCAACCCACCTACCATCTCCTACCATCGTAAGCGCCATCTAATCGACCAAGGAGCCGCCACCACGAAACCCACATCATGGAATCCATCTTGCTCCGCACGATCCTGAAGTAGCTCTGCGAGAAGGCCCAGTAGCTCTGCCCTAGGCATCGTGCTCATCAAGCGGCGCTGCTGCTTGTCGGGTTTGGGGTCATTCGGGCCACTGTGGTGATCATGATGACAAAACCCACAGGCCACACCTTTCTGGCACTGCCGCTGCTTTGCGACGTAGATGCATGGGCGGCTGCACAGTGCTGGGTGTCCCACACTGCCACGGTTTGGCGCGGGCGGCTCGAAGACTGTTGCATCCCGCCCTTGTCGGAGAGTGCGAAGATGAAGATGCGCCCATGCATCTACGACCAGAGTCTCCGAGTTTGCCACGGATGCCCGGATTGGGGGAAGGCTCCGGGCCCGTGCACGGTGATCGTCACCGTCCGTCTTGCTATCCTCCGTCACGTCAATGAAAGTAAATCGGTACCCAAGTTGCGCTCCGCTCATGGCTCCTTTTTGATCCGGAAGCGGCTTGAACAGCTTTCGACAGGCTGCGGGCGTAGGTTTGTTGGTCAAATTTGTCGCAGAAACTCCGAGAGGTCATGCCTGTCCTCGATTCCGGCAAAGGGCTTGGAAGCCTTCATGGAGTTGGAATAGAAGTCGGCAAGAGCAGTACCACCCGCAGCACGCCCTCTCTTTCTTTTCACCATCGCGTGGCGACAGTTGTCGTCGGGAACCTTTGTAAGCAGGTGTCTCGAAAGCTCCTAGCCTTCGATCAGGCCCTGCACGAGACGGCAATCCCTAGTTTCAGTCGTGTGCAGGCCCCGCGAGCTCTTGAAAATTCGGCTCGGCTGTCTGAGGGGTCGCAGGCAGTCCGTCAAGAATGGGATTGAACCATCGTGTTTCCTGACGGCAGCCTGCCAACGGCGCAGTCTTCCGTAGTGCTTGACTGTAAAAGGTAGAAAAAAACTCACCCGACTATACCCACTGAAGGTGTCAGGATATAGTGAAACACAGCCAGGCGAAGGCAACATTCAAGCGAGAAACGCAGGACACAAACACAAAAGAAAAACAACATACGCTTTCAATGCCTACCAGAGTGCCGTCGAAGCACCCTTGCTGATTGGAGGTAAGATGCCTCTGCCGGAAAGAGATGGAAGGCGGAAGCCAGCTGACCGTTCGTAAGGCGAACTGGCAATGGACGAGTGGTGCTCTGCACTCACATGCCAACTAGGCCGGCGACATGTGGCTCACAACGGACTTGTTAGGCTGTTAGACACACGGATCGGAAGATTTCATTGATAGCCCGACTAGAGCACATCGTGACCGACCGAACGTACGAGGACTACCGTGGCAAGAGCCCCCGTCCCTGTGATCATCGTGCTGCTCAGTCCATCTGTTCATGCTCGATGACGGCAGAGACTGCCTTCTGAGAAACCGCACGAGACAGGGGCAGAAAGATGCGGAAACATGCTACAGGTGAGTGACGGCCTGTGGACTCCTCTCCAAGCAGAATTGACTAGATACTGAGATGCTGTTCTACTCACTCTGGACTTCTCCCAACATTCCAAAGCCACTGCTTGGGGTGAGTCGCTGACATACGGCCGGGGCGGCTTAAAAAGTCACATTGTTTCGCAGAGCCTTCAGCTCCTGCAGGATCGAAGCCTTGCTGTGGCCCTCACAGTGACGCAGAGCTATCGAGAGGATGGCGGAGAAGTTCATGCGCCCGATCACCTGGCGCTTGAAGCCAGCTTTGAAAAGGCCTCCCCAGTCCCCTGTTCTTCCGTCCCCGCATGAAGATATGCTGGAACACCCTGAAGCCACCGGAAACATTAAGCAAGCCTAGCAGAACTACTCGCACTCTGCCCAGTGTTTGTGGCACCTGGCGCAAGTTGGCAAGCTTTCGAGACTTCGTCTGCGGGCGGATTGGACGGAGTCCTGCCTGGACAGCCACAGCCTCGGTTGCGCCGCAGGCAAGTTGTGCACCATCGAGCAACCCACCTACCATCTCCTACCATCGTAAGCGCCATCTAATCGACCAAGGAGCCGCCACCACGAAACCCACATCATGGAATCCATCTTGCTCCGCACGATCCTGAAGTAGCTCTGCGAGAAGGCCCAGCAGCTCTGCCTGAGGCATCGTGCTCATCAAGCGGCGCTGCTGCTTGTCGGGTTTGGGGTCATTCGGGCCACTGTGGTGATCATGATGACAAAACCCACAGGCCACACCTTTCTGGCACTGCCGCTGCTTTGCGACGTAGATGCATGGGCGGCTGCACAGTGCTGGGTGTCCCACACTGCCACGGTTTGGCGCGGGCGGCTCGAAGACTGTTGCATCCCGCCCTTGTCGGAGAGTGCGAAGATGAAGATGCGCCCATGCATCTACGACCAGAGTCTCCGAGTTTGCCACGGATGCCCGGATTGGGGGAAGGCTCCGGGCCCGTGCACGGTGATCGTCACCGTCCGTCTTGCCATCCTCCGTCACGTCAATGAAAGTAAATCGGTACCCAAGTTGCGCTCCGCTCATGGCTCCTTTTTGATCCGGAAGCGGCTTGAACAGCTTTCGACAGGCTGCGGGCGTAGGTTTGTTGGTCAAATTCGTCGCAGAGAGGTCGAGATGCTGCCCTGACATCCGGCACAAAGCTTTGAAGCATTCACGGCTTGCAATACAACCATGAACAGTCGGCAACAGCAATCGCAATCGAAGGCAGAAACAACATGAAGTGGAAGCAACAGGCGAAAGAACGCTTCAAGAGAAGACTTGGCTTCCCCACTGTTGCCTGTCAGTTATTACACAGACAGGCTGATTTCTAGCTAGCGTTGGGAGGATATTTGCATCGTATGCTGCCGGTACTTGCAAATGTCGAGGTCGAGGCAAGGGAATTCTCGGCCCCTCGCGGCGGCTTCCTTGCCAGGCGGTGCACTCCTTGTGACACCTTCCCGGGCGTAGTGACCTGGCTCAAACAGCAGCTATGACTGCCAAGTATAGCCTCTTCACCGTCTTGAGTTGCATTCGACATATGATTTCTTCCTGTAAGGGGCAAGTTCCATCCCCATGTTCGACTTGGCATCCGCTGCTAAGCCGGTATGACCTGTGCCCAGGGCTGTGTGGTGAGCAAGCTCCCTTATCCCGAAGATGACCCCTCGGTGCAGCTGGAGATGTCTTCAGTCTCATTCGGTCTAATGTCTTCGACGCTGTTGGGGCTCAGTTTGAATGTGGAAGAACCAAAGACTTAACACACGAAACCTAGAACCTCATGCATAGAAGCCTCATTGAAGAACCATTTTCGAACCTCAGCTCACAGAAAACCCTCTGAGCTCAGTTAGAGGCCTGCTTCAAGGCACAGCCGCCACTGGCCCGGGCGGCCGGCTCTTCGGCTGGGACACATCTGGCAAGAGGCAAATGTCTTAATAAAAAACAAAGGGTATCTTGGTAAGGTCAGGGAAGCTCAAGAGCATAGGGTGTAGGGCCTCAGGTCTGAGTTCAGGTTGCCTTGCTGGGGTCCTTACATGGCGAGCCAATCTTGGAGTCTGATTTTTGGGCACATAGGCGCCTTTTCTTGTCGGCCTTTGGGCGGAGTTTGCTGCTAATATAGGGGCCTTAATAATTAGACTGGGGTTTCGGGGCTCACTATATAATATGTATAAAAAGGAACCCCCAAAATAGAATAGGTAATTATTAAGGCCCCTATACTACAGTCGCCCTGCTGCCACCCTGCTGCGCTAGGCCTCGCTGCCGCAGCAGAAGCTGCTCCAGCTCTTTCCGCTGCCTTCAAGCAGGAGCAGAGAACTATCTATCTATCTATCTATATGTATATATATATATATATATATATATATTATATCATAAGTATATATATATATATACCATTTGTGATATATATATATATATATATATATATATACATATACATATATATATATATATATACATATACATATGTATATGGGTCTGTCCGAATAGGGGGCGCCCTACCAGGAGTGTTGGGATCGGGGTATGTTTCGCGGGTATGTTTCAGGGTATGTTTCGGGGTGTGTTTCGGGGTATGTTTGGGGGTGTGTTTCGCGCAGACTATTAGTAGTAGCAATAGAAGTAGTAGCAGCAGCAGTAGTAGTAGTAGCAGAAGCAGTAGCAGTAGTAGTAGTAGTCGTCGTAGTAGTAGAAGTTGGTAGTAGTGATAGCAGTAGTAGTAGTAGTAGCAGTAGTAGTAGTAGTAGTAGTAGTAGTAGTAGAAGTAGTAGTAGTAGTAGTAGTAGTGGTAGTGGAAGTGGCAGGAGTAGTAGCAGTAGCAGTAGCAGTAGCAGTAGCAGTAGCAGTAGCAGTAGCAGTAGCAGTAGCAGCAGCAGCAGCAGCAGTAGCAGTAGCAGCAGCAGCAGTAGCAGTAGCAGTAGCAGTAGCAGTAGCAGTAGCAGTAGCAGTAGCAGTAGCAGTAGCAGTAGCAGTAGCAGTAGCAGTAGCAGTAGCAGTAGCAGTAGCAGTAGCAGTAGCAGTAGCAGTAGCAGTAGCAGTAGCAGCAGCAGTAGCAGTAGCAGTAGTAGTAGTAGTAGAAGAAGTAGTAGTGACAATAGCTGCAGTAGTGGTACAGGCATCGTTGTGGGCTGCAGGTCTGGAAGGTCCCGACTTGTCAGGCGGTTAGTATCGCTTCGAAGCGGAAAAGGCCAACGGGCCACTTGGAGAAAATCCAAGTATGTTTCGGGTATGTTTCAGGTATGTTACGGGTATGTTACGGGAAACCTTTCCTGACCTGGGTTGAGCTACTCTAGACCTTCGCCCGCTGCTAACTTCATCCAAACGATTTGAATAACGCGGGGGTATGTTTCAGGGGTATGTTTCGGGGTATGTTTCAGGGTATGTTTGGGGGTATGTTTCGGGGTGTGTTTCGCGCAAGGACAACACTGCTCCAAGACTACAAATTCAACCCCCCCAAAAAAGACAGACCCATATGTAAGAGTAAACCCGTCAACGCTGGAAAGGACAGGTGTCCTTCGAAGCACAGAGAGAATGCATCGGCCGCCCACGAAGGCCCATCGGCTTTGGCGCTTGAATCTTTCATGCAAACATGTTAGGAACAGACCATAGATCCGAAGCTGCCAAAGCTCGTGCGACGCGCAATGAGTAAGCTAACAAGACGGGGAATTTTCAGTCAGGTTCTCCAAGCCGCGACAGCAACATCCATTCCAAAACATCTCAGGTGCCGGCCACTCTGCCAAGCGCTTGGACAGAACATCGCTGCGCGCTTGACGGCCAAGGCTTGGCGTCGCGTTTACATTGGCTTACATCGCTTACACTCCGGTGCCAGGTTTTTTTTGAGCCCTCTTTTCCTTCTGCCCTTAGGGTTAGTTGAATGCCATGCTGGCTAGGAGACTCGCCAGGTTTTTTTTTGTTGACGCCTCTTTTCCTTTCCGCCTCCAGGTTGGTAGGGAATGCCTATCCGGCTGAGGCTTCGGTGCTGACTCGCCAGGGTTTAGGATTTAGGACATTGGCTTACATCGCTTGGAGAATAGCTGATGATCGAAAACTGCTGGGATTCGGCTTCAAGGCTGAGCGCCGATGGTTCAGCCTTGACATTCCCGAGGTCCTACCTTGGATTCGGTTTCCTTGGGTTTTTCTGGTCCGGGAGTTAGGGTGGCTTTCGGTTCTTCCCGAAAGATGAGGGCATTGGGGACCATCTTGGCAACTCAAGGAGTGCAGTGGTAAGATAGCCTGGGAGAGCACAGTACACCATGGAAGTTGGTATCTCCAGATATCTCCAGTGTGGCGTTGTTGCGGTCACTGTGGCTGTTGCTGTTGTTGTGCTGTTGCTTGTCAGTCGTGGCTTGCCCCGATATGTCGTGCCAGTCCCTTCTTCCATGAGGCCCGGACCCTTGCAGCAGCTCCACGATTCGTTCCGGCAGGTGCGCAAGCCCGCGCCGGCGTCGGCACTGGCATCACAAAGAAGGCTCAGACGGGCGCCCGTGTTATTGCGAATGTGAGGTCCCGTTCAAAACTTTGGGCCCCATGGGACGAGCACTGAGAGGCTCTAAGGATCCCTTCGTCTTAGTCTTAGTCTCGCTATAAGGATCCTGAGGTTCTAACTTTGGCTCAAGGGTGGCCTGGGGTGCGGCTATGAGGCTCCGGAAAGTTTCTCCGGTCTTCCTGTCGAATGTTCGGGCTTTCTCTGCCTGTTCAGGAAAGGGCTACAGGTCCATGTCAGACAAGGAGTTTCTAGTGGGTGGGCTTCTGCAAAATCGCATCCCAGACTACATCGAAGAACCACCCGATTACAAACTTACGAACCAGCAGAACCTAAACAAGACTGCGTCTGACTCCACAAGTTCAACAAGCTTTTGCTGAGCCGAGCTGCCCGGTAACACTTGGAGGGTGATGGCCACCCTGGTTTTGCACCTGTCTCCAAAGTGAAGAAACAATGCACGAAAATCAGTCAGAGAGAGACAGAGCGAGACAGAGAGATGCACATGTACTCCAAATTTCTGCACCTACTGTTGCACACCTGTGCCGCACATGCCGAGGATGAGGAGAAGCTTGCAGCACAACGAAGGCGGGTTGGAAAGTGGAATTTTTAATTCGAAGGCGCCTGCATGTCCGGCAAGTCCTGCATGCTGCCTTTTGCCAACGCTCTGCTGAGCCACCAAGTGTCCATTTCGCAAGCCTGGGTTCATCTCAGTGCACATGGCTCATGTGAAGCCTCTGCATTCAAGGCAGTATCCAACCTGTGCTATGTGATGCCGGAGCGCATTTGGGCGTCACGACGTCCATCGTGACGACCTTCTCCATCTTCAGCTCGGGCTTGACGATGCAGCATGCACGACACTACGTGCACGTCGTCGTCGTCGTCGTTGTTGTCGTGCCTGTCGTGCACGTCGCCGACGTCGTCCTCAGGACAACATGTTGCAGACAAGGCAGACGAGGGAGCTGAGGCATGGGCGACGTCGGCGACGTCGTCGTCATGGTTGTCGTTGCAAAGTGCACGGAAGTGGAGGTGGCGGACTGCAAGCCTTAGCCAAAGTGAGACTCTGCTAATGCTCTCAGGATGCACATCTTTGTTGCAGCCCGTTTAACCATGCCCGAAAACATACGACACGAGCACGCACACACACACACGCACACACACACACACACACGCGCGCGCGGGAACGGGAACGTGGCGCTGAGACTACCACTCCACAGTGCGTGAGATAACTGTTTAGCAGGACAGAAAGGCCTTAGTAGGCTCCACGTCTCCCGTCTCGACAGAATTTGACAAGATCGTTTTAATGTCGGAATTGAGCCAGGGAGCACATCGACTCAGGGAACATCTGCATGATAAGGAGCGCCATTGTTGCGAAGTTCCTCAAGAGCATTCGGAGCGCAGGCTTCTGGTGTTCAGGTCTCTGGATCCGAGAGCCCCGTCTGCTTGAACCTCTTTGCTTCTGAAAGTGCTCTTAGCCAAAGGTGACATCAGCCTTAATGCATGCTCTGACAACAGCCACCACACTACGTACACTCCCAGTCAGCAGAGCTGGAAGGACGCCTCTACCTTCTGAAGTCCAATGGATGTGTGCGTGCTATGACAGCTTGCCTCGAGGGGGTGAAACACGGACGGAAGCACCGGCGTTCGGGCAGAAATGAGCTGCTGTGACTGGGCTTTGCAGATCGCATGCGAAGGCTCGCGAATTGCTAAAGATCATGGGCAATACCGGGTGCGACATGAGCACGGAGTCAGTGCGTGTGAAAGCACGCGAAACAAAATGGCAGGAGAATGACGCCAAGAGATTTGCTACTTTCGTGAATGCACTCCTGCTGCCTACCTCGAACAGATCAGCATGCAATCCAGGATGTAGCTGCCTTGCTGCCTTGATATCTGCACAACATGAAGGACCAGAAGGAGGACAAACTCATGCCAAAAAAGGTGGCTAAAAGTGCCTGCGGCACTCTGTGCCATGTTGCTTCTGCGATTGCATCTTTTGCTGGGACTCGGGTTCGCTTCGCGACGTGACGCAGCATGCAATAAAGTCTGCGCTTCGCATCATGCTTGACATGCACCATGCGCAGCAAGCCACCACGCCATTGCAGCGTGAAGTGGGAGTCTGTGGTCGCGGGACTTGACCCTGTAAGTCCCACAACTCGTGCAAAATTGGAGTCTGTCACGCTTTTGTGCGTTCCAGCATTGAATTCACGACCGGGACTGGTGTCAGCAAGACCCTTCATTTACGTAACTGCCATTGCAAATCAGGAGAACCAGTACTGGGCGTCGTAGCACTAGTAGCAGAGAAGCAGGAGCAGAAGTAGGAGTAGGCGAAGGCGTAGTTGCAGTGTGTTCTAGCTGTAGGTGCAGTTGTAGTAGCAGCAGCAGTAGTACAGGAAGTAGCCGCCGGGCAGCAGCCGTAGCAGTAGCAGCAGCAGTCGCAGCGATAGGAGTGTGCAGTAGATTGCAGTAGTAGCAGTCGTCGTCGTCGGAATAGTCGCAGAAGTAGTAGTAGTAGTAGTAGTAGTAGTAGTAGTAGTAGTAGTAGTAGTAGTAGTAGTAGTAGTAGTAATAGTGGTAGTGGTAGTGGTAGTAGTAGTAGTAGTAGTAGCAGTAGTAGTGGTAGTGGTAGTAATGCTCCAAGTGGTGGTCGTCCTGGTGGTAGCGGCGGTGGCGGTACGTAGCGGCGGCGTTAGCGGTAGTAGTGGCAGTGGTACTGTAGTGGCAGTGGCAGTGGCGGCAGTAGCAATAGTAGTAGTAGTAGTAGTAGTGGTAGTAGTAGTAGTCGTAGTCGTCGTATAGTGGTATACTACTACCACTACTACTACGACGACGACTACTACTGCTACTACTGCTACTACTGCTACTACTGCTACTACTGCTACTACTGCTACTACTGCTACTACTACTACTACTAGTGTCGCACGCACCAGTAGAAAGAGAAGCAGCAAGAGCAGCAGCAGAAGCACGGCGTAGTAGATGTAGACGCAGAAGTAGGATCGATCCTATGGCAAGAAACGCGAAGCCAAATGTCTCTATCTCTTGCACTTCAATGCACTTCACATTCAGCACTACGTAGCAGCGGCACCGAATATGCTGGCAATAATGCTGTTGCTGCTGCTTTGACATTGCTTTTTCTCATCGTCGTCGCAGTAGCAGCGCAGTTCAACGCGGTCGCACAGACAGTAGTAGTAGTAGTAGTAGTAGTAGTAGTAGTAGTAGTAGTAGTAGTAGTAGTAGTAGTAGTAGTAGTAGTAGTAGTAGTAGTAGTAGTAGTAGTAGTAGTAATTAGTAGTGGTAGTAGTAGTAGTAGTAGTAATTAGTAGTGGTAGTAGTAGTAGTAGTAGTAACTAGTAGTGGTAGTAGTAGTAGTAGTGGTAGTAGTAGTAGTAGTAGTAGTGGTAGTAGTAGTAGTAGTAGTAGTAATTAGAAGTAGTAGTAGTAGTAATTAGTAGTGGTAGTAGTAGTAGTAGTGGTAGTGGTAGTAGTAGTAGTAGTAGTAGTAGTAGTAGTAGTAGTAGTAGTAGTAGTAGTAGTAGTAATTAGTAGTGGTAGTAGTAGTAGTAGTGGTAGTAGTAGTAGTAGTAGTAGTAGTAGTAGTAGTAATTAGTAGTGGTAGTAGTAGTAGTAGTGGTAGTAGTAGTAGTAGTAGTAGTAGTAGTAGTAGTAATTAGTAGTGGTAGTAGTAGTAGTAGTGGTAGTAGTAGTAGTAGTAGTAGTAGTTTGCTGAGTGATGGGAAGATGCTGCATGCGAGGCCTCCCACCTGTGAATGTCCTCTTGCTTTCAAAACCAACGGCCCCGATTCCACACCATCCCGTGCAAAGCTGTCTTGCCATTAACGTGCGGAAGATGGTGCTGTCGAGTCCCGAACGCTGACCTAAGCTGCGGCTGTTTCTTCGATCTCTACTCTACTGTATCGCCCCCCCCCCCCCATGAATGCAGCAAAACCCGAGCATTCTCGTTGAACATGTTGCATCCCAAAAGCTATCTTGCGATTGACCTTGCGGGCACGAAGCTGGCATCGAAGGAGGTGCGGAAGTCGCTGAGGCCGAGGGCGTGGCGAAGCTGGCTGCCTGCAGGTGGCAAAGGCATCAAAGGCATCGAGAAGCGGGGGGTGGATTTCTGCAAACCAAAACACTGCGTGTCGGAACAGCAAACCCAATAGTGTCCATACGGAGTCACCAAAGCAAAACTCAGAGGCTGTGCAAGACTGAGGACTGACGGTGAGAGGGCAGCAAAAGATGTGTATTCGGGTTTTGACTTGGACTCTGCATTGCAGCTCTGAGGCAACTGTGTGCCCGCTGGTGCTCTCCTGATGCAGGTGCAACAGACTTTGTTTGACGGAGTTCTTACCCTTCGTCACAGCTCAGAAATCGGAGTTGACAAGCATGCCTCGAATGGCAAACAGGATGCCCTGCAGGCTAAACCCGGAGCGAAATTCACCGGATGTAATCCCAGTGCAGGCTCAGCGCTGGTTCCGTGATTAGGACTTTTCGGCGGAATCTGCAGCAATCGCTGGAAGCCTGCTCGCCGTTGGCATCAGAAGCGTCAGCGTCGGCTGCATCCTCCTACAAACGTCGAGTGGGTTCTTGCGAGCGTTTATTGCCATGGCCTTGGTGAATCGTTGCCTTCGACAATACCTTTTGCCCTCTCTACCACCAGAAAAGATCGTCAGCACCGACTTGCTGATCGCAGCTGCTGGCGCCCCGGCTTTTGTCAGAGGCTTGGGAAACAGTCAGAACCCACAAATCAGACTGCAACAATGATCAAAGACTTTGGGCTGGAGCTGGGCACCTGCATCATGCGAAGCAAGCAGCTGATTCCGGATTTGTCCTTGAAGCTCATCGCCATGCTTCGCTTTGAGTCTATCTGATCCGCATCCTCGGACTTCTGGGAGAGTGGAAGGCCCACAACCTCGGCTCGACGAACCCACCACGGACTGCTACAGTTGCGCACAGCCCACTCTATTGTCTATATCTATATCTATATATATATATATATTATGTATATATACTTATCCATCAGTACATGCGCCTGTACCGATACCTCTATACCAGTGTTGCAACATCCGAGCTGATGAAGTGTCGCCTGGTCCAAGCATCTGGTTGCTAGGTAGAGCGGTTAGGCACTGGTCTCATGAGATATACAGCGGAACATCATTGCTTTGACCATGCAGGCTAGCTTGAGATACATGCACGGCATTCGGACCAAACCGCCGGCGTAGCTGAACGTCCAAACTTGAATCCTGCTGGGCTTGCCGCGTATCCAGTATGGTTTGGCAGAAGCTGTTGATGCCACAACCGTGTTCAAGCTACGCAAACTACCACGGTATGACATCGGATGCAACCTAGTTGCGGGCGGCACGTTGGGTTTGGAGCCGTTCTCCGCCAGAGGTATCTCAAGATCGGCTTGGGGCTCTGACGTCTCAGACTTCCTCGCAGTTCCGCGCGGAGACGTGGCAGTGGCCGTGTCTGCAGCATCTGATCTTTCTGTCAGCTCTTGGTCATCTTCCTCCTCGGAGAAGTCCGGCTCAAACTCCTCGTGTGGGCATCTCTACCCAAACTTACAGGACAGCCTCTCATATGCCAGGCATCAAGGAAAGAGAAAGGAACGAAGAAAAGAGAGCACTTCTTGGAGAGCCGCCTCGCAGTCGTACCTCGGCCAAATTATCAAGGATGCAAACACGGGGGAGGGGGGGAATCGTTCCCGTGACTGCAACTACACTCTTCGAGGTGTTGCTAGTGGATGCGCGCCGACAATCGATCATGACCCTCGGCAGTTTAAGCTTGGCTCGATCTGTGATCCTGAGTGTGTCAAGTGACACGTCGGAAAAGAATCGAATCCGTCCAGTCCGAAAGCAGAATGCGCATACTGCGCTCCTTCCTGCATCGGAGATGCTCATCGTCTTCCGGCTCCTGCACAACGAGTCTTTGCCATCACAGATCTAAAGTTCTTATAAGTGGCTAATAACGGTAGCATAGCATAAATCCAGCAGCCGATCGATTCCCCCACTTTTCATCTGTTTGGAAGACATGCCAATGTCGAGGTTTCAAAAAATTCGAGAGCATGTGCACGGGAGCTCCGACAAGTCATGCGTGAAGGGCAACATCCAAAACGCAAACCCGCGCAAGTAAATCTTCCAAGACCTGGACGCACTTGCTCGATCCAGACCTGAAGTCCTCTCTACGACATCCTGTGTGGGCTGGTCTTTCAGCAGTCCTTGGCAGGCTCTGCCGCCGGATCATCTTGCACCTCCGCCTGGTCCCGGAGTTCACGGGACACTATCGCAGTTCACCCCGGCCGAGACTTCGGTCGAAGATCTAGAGACGCACAGCCATTACCACTAGCCGTGCTAGCCTTTCTCCCTCCTCAAGTCTTCCTCGGGCAGGAGGCCCACTGCAACAGCAGAAACGGAAGTTGGATCTCATCAAAGAGCTCATGCAAAGCCCTTACGGTAACCCATTGGGATGCAGCACGAGGTCCGTGGTCTCAGCTATCGTTACAGCCTTGCGGTTTTTTCTGAAGCCACTGCGGTCGCATGGGCTTAGAGTGGGGAAGGGGGGTACGAAACAATGTAGGGATGTAGGGCCCAGCCTCGAGCGTCTTGAAACAGTCCGGTGTGACAATTTCAGGTTCACATGGACACCCTGCTGCCCAAAACACATGCGCGCCAGAAAGGCAAGCCCTGAAGCCAATGTTCCGCCTGGACCATGGCTGTGGCCCCCAAATCTGCAGAGGCATCCTCCTGCAAGGGCCAATCGCACATCAGCTTCAATTGTCATCATCTTCACGCCGCCTACATACGAACACCTAGGGGAAAGCCGTCCCAAGCAAAGATTGCTTAGAACTAGAAAGTTCAGCGTCGCCGACAAGTGTTCGAGCATGCGGGGCACACACGCAGACATGCGTGGTGCGGGCATCTGCTTCTCCACAGCACCGCAAAGACAGAGCTTTAACCCCGTGCAGCGGGTGGCCTGGGCTTCAGGAGGATCCTCTTCCTGCCGGACGCCGGCTTGCGCCTTGGAGTCCGACGATCTCTCCGAACTCCGGCAAGTGCTCAATCCATTCTATCCGAATACCATCGCCGCTAACCGCGGCTGTTGCCTGATGATTGGTCACTTCGTTTCCTCTCCCACCAGAGGACAATAGAGCTCCACCATGTTAAATGAGCGTGCTGTGCTTCGTTCGAGTCCAAGGCACCGGGATTGCACTGGCCTGGGAAAGGGCAGATCCAGGAGGATCACTTGCCTTCTCCTGGAATTTCGAGGCAACCATGAAACTCAGTCAATTGGAGGATGACTTGCTTCTCTGCGCCCTTCATTCAACACAGCTGGGGGTTGAAACGGATAGGAACAGTGCCCTGCACTTCTCAGACTTGCGGAGGCACCACGGCACTCTGCAAGACGATGTCAGACCCAAGATGTGAATGACTCATGCTGCTGGCCTGTGCGGCAGGAGGATCACTTTCCGTCTCCTGTCCGTGCTCTTTGCCAGACGAAGAAAATCCAAAGCAGAATTGGCTTTTCCACCAACAGATCGGGAATGGCACTCTGCAACACGACTTCAGATGCAGTGCGCACACGACCAGGAATGTTAACATGCTGCTGGCCTGTGCAGCCGGCGCCTCTGCACTTTCTTTCTCCAGTCCGAGATTGTTGCCAATCAAGACGGCTGGGAAATTCAATCCCGAGGAGGAGACTATGCCGTCATGCTTTTATTTGCACCCGTCATCCAACGAGTCGAAATAGAACTCTGCAAGGAGATGCCACTATCATGCTGCTGGCCTGTGCTGCAGGAGCAGGAGGATCACTTTCCGTCTCCTGTGCGTGCCCATTGCCAGATGAGCAACAAAAAAAAGGGGATTCTGCACCCTTCGTTCAACAAAACGGATGGCACTCTGCAACACTATTTCAGACCCGATGCGCAGAACGACCAGGGAATGTTCCCGAACTTACATGCCGCCGGCCTGTGCTGCAGGAGGGTCACTTTCCTTCTCCTGACCGGGCTCATCCGCCGGTCGAGGAGCGAAAAGACTGTCTAGTGGGTGGAACCCCTCATTCAACCAGTCAGAAGTGGTACTCTGCAAAACGATATCAACTAATCAAACAAAGCATTCTGGACTGTCCTATTGCGATGGAATGGCCACTGACGTGCTGCTGGCCTGTGCTGCAGGAGCAGGAGGATCACTTTCCGCCTCCTGTGCTTGCCCATTGCCAACCGAGCAAAGCAGAAAAAGAGGCGTCTGCACCCTGCGTTCAACAAATCGGATGGCACTCTGCAACGCTATTTCAGACCCGATGCGCAGAACGACCAGGGAATGTTCCCGAACTTACTTGCCGCCGGCCTGTGCTGCAGGAGGGTCACTTTCCTTCTCCTGACCGGGCTCATCCGCCGGTCGAGGAGCGAAAAGACTGTCTAGTGGGTGGAACCCCTCATTCAACCAGTCAGAAGTGGTACTCTGCAAAACGACATCAACTAATCAAACAAAGCATTCTGGACTGTCCTATTGCGATGGAATGGCCACTGACGTGCTGCTGGCCTGTGCTGCAGGAGCAGGAGGATCACTTTCCGCCTCCTGTGCTTGCCCATTGCCAGACGAACAAAAAACAAAGGGGCTTCTGCACCCTTCGCTCAACTAAAGGGATGGCACTCTGCAACACTATTTCAGACCCGATGCGCAGAACGACCAGGGAATGTTCCCGAACTTACATGCCGCCGGCCTGTGCTGCAGGAGGGTCACTTTCCTTCTCCTGACCGGGCTCATCCGCCGGTCGAGGAGGGAAAAGACTGTCTGGTGGAACCCTTCATTCAACAAGTCAGAAGTGGTACTCTGCAAAACGATATCAAATAATCAAACAAAGCATTCTGGACTGTCCTATTGCGATGGAATGGCCACTGACGTGCTGCTGGCCTGTGCTGCAGGAGCAGGAGGATCACTTTCCGCCTCCTGTGCTTGCCCATTGCCACATGAGCAAAAAAAGGGGCTTCTGCACCCTTCGTTCAACAAAAGCGATGGCACTCTGCAACACTATTTCAGACCCGATGCGCAGAACGACCAGGGAATGTTCCCGAACTTACATGCCGCCGGCCTGTGCTGCAGGAGGGTCACTTTCCTTCTCCTGACCGGGCCAATCCGCCGGTCGAGGAGCGAAAAGACTGTCTAGTGGGTGGAACCCCTCATTCAACCAGTCAGAAGTGGTACTCTGCAAAACGACATCAACTAATCAAACAAAGCATTCTGGACTGTCCTATTGCGATGGAATGGCCACTGACGTGCTGCTGGCCTGTGCTGCAGGAGCAGGAGGATCACTTTCCGCCTCCTGTGCTTGCCCATTGCCAGACGAACAAAAAACAAAGGGGCTTCTGCACCCTTCGCTCAACTAAAGGGATGGCACTCTGCAACACTATTTCAGACCCGATGCGCAGAACGACCAGGGAATGTTCCCGAACTTACATGCCGCCGGCCTGTGCTGCAGGAGGGTCACTTTCCTTCTCCTGACCAGGCTCATCCGCCGGTCGAGGAGGGAAAAGAACCCTTCATTCAACAAGTCAGAAGTGGTATTCCGCAAAGCGGGTAGTCTTACGGTGTCAGGCCCGATGCGCAAACGGCCAGGAATGTTTGCGCGAAGTTACATGCTGCTGGCCTGTGCTGTAGGATCTGTAGGAGGATTCGAGCTTTCTTTCTCCTGTCCGCCGGGCTCATTGCCAACCAACCCTGAGGAAACAGGTCATGAGTAGCACTCCGAAGAACGATGTCAGGAAGAGGATCGCATTGACATTGAAGGACTTCAAAAGTCAGCCCTCAGGAAAATGCTTTGGTACCCGTCATTCAACATGACAAAACTACAAAATGATGTTAATTCATTCAACAAAACATGCGTGGCACTCCGCAAAACGAGGTCAGGCCCGGTGTGCTCTGCAAAGCGACGGAGCATCCAGGAATTGACATACTGCTGGCCTCTGGAGGATCTGAACTTTCCTTCCCCTGTGCCGGGTCGTTGCCGGTCGATGCTGCCCTAAAAGAAAGCCGATGGAACTGACATGCTGCGGGCCTGTGCCGCAGGAGGATCGTTATCCTTCTCCTCCTGCCAAGCCAGAGAAATTCTGTGATTCAACCAGCTGGAAAAGCATATGCACAAAGAATTGGAAGTAGAAATGCGCCTCTTCCCGCCCAAGTGGCGCGCTGGTGCTACAATCGACCTGCTAGACAGGCATGGGGATGGAATGGCCACGAAATTCTGAAATGGCAATACTGCTGGCCTGGGCCGCTGCAGCAGGAGGATGGCTTTCTTTTTCCTGGACGAGTTCTCCAGTCGAGGTATTTCTGACAGGATCCGGCAGTCGGACGCCAGTTGCTCTCGTCCTGCTAGACTATGGCGCGAATGGGCTTTCCCACCCTCAACATGAAAGTCCGGCCAAGAAATACGACTGCCCGACGAGGGCATTCAGTGATTGTTGACAAGGGGGTTCTTCGTTGTCAGTGTTCTTGCAAACTTTCGGGAGCTCGTCGGATAGCAATTTGCCGCCGCCGCACAACTAACACTGGAATTCGATCTCCGCACAACAACACACCGGATGAGTTCGACACCTTCGCTATGAGTCTGTGCAGCGCCCAGCCGTCTGGCGAAGACAAGCAGAAGAACACTGCACTCGCCGCCTTTGTAGTGGCGTCGTCTTTGGCACGTGCCTCGACAGTGCGTATTTAGGGCCAAACAAGAAAGCACGACGAAGAGCTACAAGAAGTGAAGCGGTCAGACTTTCCTACAGGAACCTCCTGCACCTCCTCCTCATCCCCTCCCCAATGACCAACACCCCTCATCTTGGCCACCTGACCCCCTCTCCTTCCCTCTGGACCCATTCAATGAGCACAAACATTAATGATGTTCAAGTTGGAAGCAAACATAATATCAGCATTGGGAATGATAGTTCTGGCTCTAGCTATGGCTCTCGTGGTCCGTGTTGAACAATCTACCTATCTATCTATCTATCTATATGAATTTGTTTGCATAAACCTATAGGTATATGAAGATGTGTATACGTGTGAGCAAAAATATGCACCTACACGCCTCTCAAATCCCAGACTCATGAATGGCACATCACGATACTGTTTTCATCCTGCACTCCGCTGGGTCCACCCTCAACCTCTGATCGAACCCTCAAACATCCCCCCTGACCGTCCCACCCTAGCGACGATGTAGTATATCATATATATATATATATATGTATATATATGCTCACCCCCCCCCCCCGTTGACAGACCATGCCCTTGTGATAGTGTACTCTCGTTCGGTGACTAGGCTGAGATATTGCATCTAAACACACCACACATGACGACAATCTGTAAAGCAAATCCTTTACAGTACATATACCAAGTAATTATACTTTTAACATGCCATGTACTGAGGACGCATGGACCAGATGCGCGACACGTGAGTTATGAGTTTTGTGGTAGCATTGGTATAGGATGAGTACGAGTATTAATATTGGTATTAGTATTAGTATCAGCAATAGTATTAGTGTTTACTGTAAGTATGTGTATATATATATATATGTATATATCGACAGTAGTAAGTATACATTAATGTTAGTGCTCATCTTCGTTTTAGTCTGAGTGTTAGTGCCAGTGTCAATGCCAGTAATAGTACCACTGCTAGTATTAGTATCAGTCTTCATGCTGGGTTTAATATCAGTTAATAATGGCAGAGGTGCTAGTATTGGTATCAAAATTAGAGTTAGTTTCGATATGTTACTATTCTGATAGTTTCGTATATCAGCAGGTTAGTATATCAACACATTGATGTGTTCGAGAGGCAACATATTTGTATACTTGCATATTCGTAGATTTAATACTTTAGTACAACTGATGCATGAGTAAACTAGTATATTGCTGTATTAATATATTAGTATATTAACATACCAGTATATTCGTACATTAGTGTATTAGTATACTAGTATATGCAATATACGTGTATTGTCTAAAGATTTATAAGTGTATCAGTATGTTGTCATATTAGTACACTAACCTGCCACGTCGGTATACTTGCATATTACAGTAGTCGCATACTAGTATAGTAGCATACTAGTATAATAGCATACTAGTATAGTATATTCACACATTAACAAGTAGTGTATTGTTACATTGGTATATGGGTATATGCTTGTCCTAAAACATCAGTACATGAATGCATTGATACATATCGGCATTTTAAGTTAATGGTATGTGTTCTGGTGTGCATTAGCATATGCACGTGTCTTTTGTAATGGTATTAGTCTTCACATCAATATGAATATGATTATTGGTATACGTAGGAGTATTAATGTTAATATTCGTATTAGGATTATCCATAGTCGCATTAGCCTTAGCATAAGTGTTAATAATGGTATTATTACTGGCATTATCGTGAATATTCAGCAAGTTATCAATGTCAGTATTAGTATTGGTGACAGCATTACTGTTAACAGCATAAGAGTATACGCAGTAGTATCCGTAGGAGTATCAATACTTATGTAAATCTTGGTGTTGGTATAAACAGTGCGATTGGTATTAGCAATAGTCCTAGTGCGAGTGCTAATATTAAAATGAGGTTATGTATTCGCACGAACGTTTGTCTTATATTAGTATTTCTCCTGATTACATGAAAATACTAACAGATAAATACATGCATGAGCTAATGTATTTGTACTTTAATATAGTGGTATGTATATTTATGTACATTGGTATATGCAGGTGTGTATTAGTATTGGAATTAAAATACACTACTACCAATATGGGCATAATTATTGATATGCGTAGGAGTATGAACGTCAGTATTAATCATTATTAGTATTTGTTATTTGCATGGTGCCTATTCGTATTGGCTTAAAAAAGTGTAAATATTAGTGTTAATGCTGGTATTAGCTTGGGCAGTCAGCAAATGATCAATGTCAGAATGAGTATTGGTAATAGTATTCGTAGGAGTACCAATTTAGAAAACTAGATAAACACTGGCAATCGTCCAAACAGACCTTGCCTTTGCAAGTGAGTCGTAGCGCATGGTCTGTCATCCGATGGGTCACAATCAGCCCATTGAAAATCAATTCCAGAAGTTCCAAAATTTCCAAAATCTCAGAAATCTCCTAAATTTCCGAAATTTCCAAAATTTCCAAAAATTCCAAAAATTCCAAAATTTCCAAAATTTCCGAAATTTCCGAAATTTCCAAAATTTCCAAAATTTCCAAAACGGCCCGACCTAGCCGACAGGAATTTTCCAAAACATAAGGGCGGACTTTTTGGAAATTTTGGAAATTTTAAAAATTTTGGAAATTTCGGAAATTCTGGAAATTTTGGAAATTTTGGAATTTTTGGAAATTTTGGAAATTTTGGAAATCCGGAAAGTTAGGGGAGAGAATTTTGGAAATTTTGGAATTGAGTTTTTGAAAGCTGAGTGCCACCTCCCCCCGATCACAGACCATGCGCTACGACTGAGTTGAAAGGGCGTGGTCTGTCAACGGGTCTCAGTCTTTTGGTGGTTCCACAGATACGTTCGGAGGGCTCAAACTCGATACCCCGGAAAAAGCACGAACACGCCGGTGGGAGCGATGTTTTGAAGGGGATGGTCTGTCATGGGGGGGGGTGACCATATATATATATATATATATATATCCCCTCATCGTCCCTTTGTAGTTCTAAACTTTTTGGGGAAAGATATTTTTCTCCAATATATGTAGATGTAGTATATCCCCTCATCGTCCCTTCCTAGTTAAGTTCATAGTATGTACGCGATACTCCCAAACCCTGCTCTAGTCTCCACCTTGGCCTTGGCCTTCGCCCGGGCTCGCTTCAACTTCTCCTGTCAAGCTTGGAAACTAACAAAAAGAGATACCAATACTAGTACTAGTAAACTGCTAGGGGTGGGGCTTTAGTGATTTCTGTTGGATGTTGAGGCTTAGGGCGATGTCTGCTTGAGGGCCTGAGGGCCTGAGGGCAGCTCAGGGTAACGGTAACGGTTGTAACCACAACAACATGCGTCAGGGATTCACTTGCACACTGGTATGAAGGAAATGGAAAAACAAAAGAACGCAAAGAAGCGGAAGAAGAAGAAGAAGAAGAAGTCGACGAAGGGAACAAGACTGTCAATCGCAATCAGCATCAGAAGAACAACAACTCAAGCAGACGAATGATGATGACTGTTCGAACGAAAGGATGCACCCTGAGCTCAATGCCTCGGGCGAAAACTCCACGAAAAGTGGGAATCCCAAACTTCAAACACCACCCTGCCAAGCTCTGGCTTGCAGCTTGGCAAAGCAGCTAGGATTCAAGGCTTTACCTCCAGGGCTTTCGGGATAGTTCTTGATTTTCAGGTAGCTACTACCCATAGACTCCAGAGTAGTTCCTTTTTAGGATTACCTTACAGGATTCTAGATATGAAAACCGAAAAGGAACTACTACGGAGCCTCCAGGTACGGAACATTGAGGGTGAGTTGTTTTGTTCAGAGCTCAGGCCTCGGTTCTGAGCGCGTCGCTGCGCGACGTCGCTGCGTGCATGGAGGTTAAAATGCTAGACTCCGCCACATGGGAGTTTCCGAAAATACGGGGTACCTTATTTTGGGGTGCTTAGAATAAGGATCCTACTATTTAGGGTACTATATTCGGGTCCCCTAGCTTCGGAAACTCCCGCAGTAATCAACCTTTAAGTTTTAAAGGTTATTCGTGACGTGAGCTGCAAGGTCAGAGGGAACCAAAACTTCCCGTCCCGGATACGGGAGGGTGCAAAGCGTCATGCTACTATCACGGGGACGGACAATGGTAACTTCGGCTCAGGGGTTCCAGCAACTAGTTTCCTAAACTCGGGTCCCTTCTTACTTGCTTGGGCCCCCCAAAAAGCAGTGGTCTCGCTGGTCTTCAGAACTCGTGTCGAGGGTTCATACGGCAAAAGGAACCAGAGATGCCTGGCACGTGAGGATCACAAAACGCCGAAGTGCAGAGCCGGTGATTCGACACAGACAATCCGTCGAAGTCAAAAACACTCGGCCCGCATTCCCAGGCCTCTGAGCCTCTGCAATGAAAAAGTTAAGCGATCACGGACGGTGGACGTAATGACCACCGCTGTCGGAGTTAGAGCGCAGCGTACATCTAAGAAACGAACTGAGAGCTCCAAAGCTTCCAAGCACGTCCAAACCATAACAGTGACTGAACACTAGCCCCTAAACGCTGGGCCGAAGAAAAGCGCTCCACTCCGCATGAAGCAATTAGCTTAAAAGATTTCGCTACTTCGCTGTGCGTCCGAGACCCCTGCATGGTTTGTGTTGGGGCAATCCCTAGACTCCACACATCCATGATTAAAGCATCGCCAAAGTCACAAAAGCGGCCTGTATATAGGCATTGCCTGTGGTTTCTATGACATAAGCCTACTGGGTTGCCCAACGGTTCGGATACTGCTAGAATCAGAAGGCATACGCCAAATATCATAGGTGCGGTTTGTTGTGGCTAGAAACGGCAAAATGAGTGGGCAGGGGTCGGAACTACTTCATAAGTAAGTAACCTGTATACAGCCCTACGAACGCCCGGAAAGACACCACGACAGCCCGCATGGAACCCAATAAGCAGACACAAATTCAACAACACAGCCCCCCCTCTGTAAACCCGAATCACATTGCCCTAAGAAGTAACATAACACTCTAAACCCCCCCCATAGGCTGTACAAACTATCGAAACTCCAAGCTGCATGCTTGCAACACGCAAAGGATACTGTGCCCTGTGTCTTGGAAGGGGACTTTCGTATCACGGCCCTGAAGCTGCAAGGGTCGATTTGTCAGGGCTACACAGCGCCAGCACTGCTTAAGAAATCATTGGCTTGTGGAATTGAGCCCCTGGGGCAGCCGTGCAACACAACAAAAAACAAGTTACAAAAAGACACGAATTGAAAACAAAAACACCAGGGTACCCTGACCTCGGTGTGCCAATTTTTGATTTTGTTCTTCTCGATTCTCTTCGTTTGTTGTCTTCGCTCAAAAATCTAGAGCCCGGGTGTCCCGGAAACGATTGACGAGCCGAAGATGTATGTATGAGAGATATATGTACGTGCATGCAGCGTAAGCATGCAAGCATGTATTGTGTATGAGATGCACCTATCATATCATATATACCTCATATTACCTATCTATCCATCCATCCATCCATGCATCCAGCTATGCATGTCTTGTTCGTCCATACATCTAGTATACCATCCATCCACCCAGCCATCCAGCCGATGTCGATGGCACCTTGGTCAGTGGACCTTGGCTACGGCTAGTAAGCTAGTAGATCTGCTGCGTACTACATGGTCGGACATCTTAATTGCGTCAGCTCGGTTCGCCGACCTTTATTTGGGCTTCGATGCGAGAACAATTACGGCAACAACAGCAGCAACAAAAACAACGACGACGACAACGACGCTGTGCATAACGGACAGACGTGGTGGATTCAAAGGCACACCCAAGACGTTTTCCCCAAAACACTGGCGGATTCGACGGCACACCCAAACCCCTTTCTCCCAAGTACCGGCGGATTCTGGACTTCGAACAAGGGTGGGTGCGGTGCGACCGGGTGCGACCTCGTAAGAAACATGTCTCACCGGGTACCGGACAGACTTTCCCCCAAATACTGGCGGAGTCACAGGCAGACCCAGAACGGTCTCCCGAAAGCCTGGCAGCTTCGACAGCACACCCAAAACCCTTCCGGACTTCGGACAAGGATCGGTGGACCTCGTAAAAAATCAGGGTTTACCCGGTCGCACCTGGCTCATCTGACGCCGCTGTGCATACCGGACAGACTTTCCCCCAAGGTCGCGCCCAGTGGCACCTGGCTCGTCTGAGATAACGGACAGACTTTTTTTTACCCAAGTACTGGCAGACTCAATTGCAGAGCCAATACGATTTCCCTTGAAGTAGCGGCGGACGGCATCTGCCGGACTTTGAACAAGCGTGGGTGCGACCTTGTGCACCTCGTTAAAAAAGGGTCGCGCTGTTCGCATCCGATTGCATGTCTTGTCTGTCCTGCTACATGTAATACCGGGAAAGCATTCCACGTACAACGTTTGTACTCGAAACACCGACCATTTCGAGACCCCACCAGACTCGAAGAGGGTTCCACGTAATTACTGCGTTTGTGCTCGAACAACATTTTGGAGCCCCCACGGGTCCGGACCCTTTCGGACCGCAATCCGCGGTACGGCTGTACTCCAAATACACAACTTCGAGGACATCCCGGCTCCGGTAGTTTTCCGGAGCCCTTCCGCGTAACTCTGGAAAAATCTGGATAGCGCAAGTTTGCATAACGAGAAGTACTGGCAGATGCTGCAATCGCAGACCCAATATGCTTTCCCCGAAGTACCGTTAGCTTCGACAGCAAACCCAGGTACCGGCGGATTTGGGACTTCGAACAAGTGTTGGTGCGACCGAGTGCGACCTCGTAAAGAAAAAAGAGTCGCGCCGTTCGCACCCGGTCGCACCTGTCTCGTCTGACCCCGCTTGGGAAAGCTCGAAACGACCATTTTCGAGACCCCACTACTCGAAGAGCGTTCCACGTACTGCGGAAAACAACATTTTGGAGGCCCACAGCCCCGGACCCTTTCGGGCCGCAATCCGCGTACTACGGCTGTACTCCAGATACACAATTTCGAGGACATCACGGCTCCGGTAGGCTTCCGGAGCCTGTCGGCATACTAAATAGGGCGTTTTATAAACAAACATCGGCTATGAAACTAGGAACCTAGGGTCCCTTCGCGAAAAAGTAACTGTTTCTTAAGCGGCGCTGTCGCTGTCGATGTGGATGCCACAGCTGAAGCCACGTGCATATTGTCAAGCGAGGAAGGCATACCCTCTGTCACCTTGCACTAGGCGTCAGCACCCAATCCGAACTCGGCGGTACCCAATGTTGATGCGGCGAAGAAATAAAAGGAGCCGCCGCCATGGATTAGCATCGCCTTTCTGCAAGGCTCAAAGGTCGCTGCCCCACCGCTCGTATCACCACCAGGCGAAAGACCAGCAGCAGCGAGAGCAGGATCCCTCGGCCAGATTTCCTGCAAAAGTTGTGCACCGAGTGTGGGCTTTGGGCCCCTTCGGGCTTGGGGTGTGTGACTTAACGCTTCGTGGTTTCATGGAGTTCTGGACGGATGGGGCTGGAAACTCTCCTCCCATTGTCCGGTGGCCATGCTGAACTCCCACCAGCCATCGGCAATCCAACCTCCTTGGAGCGGGTATGGCCGCCCGCCGAACACCTGAGACAAGCAGCCAAGGGCCAAGTGGTCTAAAATCTCAAGTCGCACGAAGAAGATCAAGGAAAAAGGTGCTCACAGCACCAAGGCACGAGCAATCCAGATCCTGTCCAAGCTACCTGTGGAGCAAGCCGAGGGGGAGGAAGAGGACCGGTTTGCACGATCTGGTGCCACGTGTTGGAATCACGGCTGTATGCCCAAATATCGTCATGGATCACAAACGAGGGGTCAAAGAAATCACCAGCGACGCCTCCATAGACCTTCTCAGAGCAGAAGGTGTGAGTCAAGTAAAAGGCAACTGGAACCAGCCGGCCGCTTCCGTCCACGATTCTATGGCCGGACTGTGACAGCTATCATCAGTGACAATTAGCGCCTAACAAATGTCAAAAGCAGCAGTGCCTTGAAACTGGCTTGCAGCCATGCCACCATCATGCGACTGCCAGCGGAGTCCCAGAAAGCGTGAGGCAATCGGCGCGCTGTTGGATAGGCTGCCGAGGCGGCCTTCGAGGTCGCTGTGAGGTCCGTCCAGGTTGCTGCCAGCGGTTCATACTCCCACAGCTCATCCACTTGCCGATTTTGTTCAACAGTGATGTCGCCACCAGCCGTCAGTGCCCCACCGAAGATCAACATCGTCTGGCTGGCTGTGTTCCAAACACCAGCCAGGAAGCCACGATGAAGCGGCCAGGTTCCCGTCCTGTCTTCCCCAATGGAAATCCTGGTCTGTGTGAGGGAATCACCTGCGAGGAGAGCAGCAGACATGTCCGAAGCAAACCGAATACCACACTTTCGGATACTTGAGCCTGAGATGTCCCAGCGTACCAGGGCATACTCCTCGCCTGTTCCGCGACCAGCACGTCCCCGAGCTCCTGCACCATCATCTAGTTGCCTGAACATGATTCAGCCTCCATTCCTACACCAGTTTCCCCTCCCTGAACCTCTCCAAGGAGATCAAAGTAAGAAAGCACCGTATGCAAGACCTGCCAGCTTCACTGAAACCGCACATACGAAGCCTCTGACAGAGAGCCCAGGCGCCGGTCCTCCATAGGCAAGGAAATACTCGCCCGTCCACACGAAGATGTGGCCATACTGTAGGAAACCTCCGTTCCTTCGACTAGTCTCCCATTCGATTTGGCTCCAAGACAGAGATGGCCAGTCAAAGACAAACACCACGTTCGAGGGATGCGCTTGCTGAATTTCACTTGCTTGGCCCGGGATGTTTACAGTTGCCACACCCCCGTGCAGATAGGTCTTGTCGCCGACCTGCACCATGGGGAAGAGATGCAAGTCCGGCGTTGGCCCCCCTGAAAGGCCCACTTGGCGCCAGCCCCTGTCGGGCTTCTCCTGGGATGGCTGGGCTCAACACATTGGCCCGGGAAGGATCACATGGACCGGTCCCACCCAAACCCAAACCACAGCGGCCCTACTTTGGATGAACTTCATGGACTGCCGACGACGGCCTGAGTCGCGCACCGTCAGATCGCACTCGGAGAGCGTCGTGGTCTCAGTGGCCAGAGAACTGTGAATCCAAAGATCTCTTCTCTCAACATGCGATACCCAACCCATGAACAAAACTGATTGAAGAAGTCTCGTGCGCACAAACGTCCGATTACTTGTCGCACAACTCTCAGAGAGGCCGACCCGAAATGACCCGAAACCGCCTCGCCGGCTCTGCACAGGCGCTGGGCTCACCTACAGCTCTCTGACTGAGATAAGCTGCCGTTCCCGCCGTGGTCGTTGCCATCGTCGTTGTCGTGGAGGGCATAGACTGAGGCAGTTGCGAAATTGAACAACAAACACAATACTTGATGGAGCGCCTGCAGCCCCGAAGGAGCTGACCACCCCACCTTTCAAGCTGCAACCAAGTTACGGTTGTCGTCGTTGTAGTCGTGGTTGTGGTAGTAGTCGTCGTGGTGGTGGGGATGGTCGTTGTAGTCGTGGTGGTGGTCGTCGTGGTCGTCGTGGTCGTGGTGGTCGTTGTTGTAGTCGTTGTAGTGGTCGTGGTGGTGGGGATGGTCGTTGTAGTCGTGGTGGTGGTCGTCGTGGTCGTCGTGGTTGTGGTGGACGTTGTTGTAGTCGTTGTAGTGGTCGTGGTGGTGGGGATGGTCGTTGTAGTCGTGGTGGTCGTCGTTGTAGTCGTGGTTGTGGTAGTAGTCGTCGTTGTAGTCGTGGTGGTGGTGGTCGTCGTGGTCGTGGTGGTCGTTGTTGTAGTCGTTGTAGTGGTCGTGGTGGTGGGGATGGTCGTTGTAGTCGTGGTGGTGGTTGTCGTGGTGGTGGTTGTCGTGGTGGTAGGGATGGTCGTTGTAGTCGTGGTTGTGGTGGCGGTCGTCGTGGTGGTAGGGATGGTCGTTGTAGTCGTGGTTGTGGTGGTACTGGTCGTGGTGGTAGGGACGGTCGTTGTAGTCGTGGTGGTGGTAGTCGTGGTGGTAGGGATGGTCGTTGTACTCGTAGTGACGGCACTCGTCGTGGTAGTAGGGATGGTCGTTGTACTCGTAGTGACGGCACCCGTCGTGGTACTGGTAGTAGGGATGGTCGTTGTACTCGTTGTGACGGCACTCGTCGTGGTAGTAGGGATGGTCGTTGTACTCGTTGTGACGGCACTCGTCGTGGTAGTAGGGATGGTCGCTGTAGTTGTGGTTGTGGTTGACGTCGACTGAGGCAGTTTTCAGATGTGGGCAACAAAATTCTTGTGCTTGATCCTACCCCTGTCAGCATTATCATGCACTGCTGGGCACATCCTAAGTCCCGTCCAAGCCGAGCGGTAAAGCCGTAAGCTGGTTCTTCATTGTTCTAAGCAAGCCAAGCGGCGGTTGTGGTTGTGGTGGTTTTCTTGAGCTTCTTACGCAAGTCTCGCACGAGGCCATGAAGCAACTTCAGGAACTTCTTCTTGAGCGGCGAGATTTTGAGGCGCCCCTTCCTATCCGAGAACCATGAGCCGTCCGATGCATGCTGGACCAGCTGCGGCGCTTCGTCTTCGGCGATCTCCAAGATCTCTCGCTCTTCTCCAAGTTGGCTGTCGTCTTGAACCACAATGACATCCCCGACCTCAACAAGAAGCATAAGATAGACTGTAGCTGAGGTTTATGGAGCTCTTCGACTCTCCTGCCTCGAAGCCACTCACGTCCGTGATCTGCAGCTCCGTGTCGCCGGGGTAAGCATCAGCGGCTAACTCGGACATGGGAGGTCTGGGAATCGTGGTGGTCTCCGTCGTCTCTCGGGCAAGCTCACGATCATGCAGACCTTTCTGCAACGCCGACATCTCCTCCGCATCACCCTCCACACCTTGGGCCATGGCCACGGAAACCGAGGCACATTCTGCTCCTCCTCCTCCTCCTGCCGCAAGGCCGAGCCCACAACACCAGAAGAGGAGCGTGCGGAGGCTCAGCAGAGACGTCGGAACCGCCCGGGCACCAACCATGACGTGCATGGAGGTCTGAGGTGTCAGGGCAAGGAGTGAAGTCTGCCTGATATCGCTTGACAATCAAAAATGTCTCGGAAACGAGCAGTGCAGATGGATTGAAACCTGACTGGCTGTCACCTAGATCAGGCCATGCAGAAACAGACTGGATCGTCAACAAGCCCTACAGGCCCTGCATTGGCCCTACATCCTAACATCCAGCTTTGTTAACTCCGTCAACAGCGCCGACAAAAAAAAGCCATGCGCGCTCACGCAAAGCTTTCGCGAACTCTGAACACACAGGCATCAACGATCTGAACATGGCATTGCTTGCAGAAGCCCTGCTTCCCCATTGAGGCCCTTCTGATTACGATTCAAGCTGCCTCCAGCGCAGGTGCAGGTGCAGAGGTTTGCCTGCAAAAAAAGTCAAACGGTGCAGACGCACTCCCGTCGAAAAGCCATGTAACCCTCATATGGCAACCCTTATCATACGTAATCCTAAAGCTAAATCCTACCCGGACCATAAGGCCATAAGGGCATGTTCGCCATCAATCGTGAAATATCGTGAAGGCCGCCTCGACGCGGCGTTGGAGCCTTCAGAGGCTTCGGCTCTTCAAGCGGAAAACAGACAGCAAGTTGCATGTAGTGATCCGCTGCTGCGCATCACGAGGCTTTGTGCCTGCTTTTGGGAATTCCGACAGTCTCTGGAAGCCGATCACAGCTGCATCTCTCTGCCTGCTCCTTCCCCTGGCACTTCCGGCGCCGACCTTGGAGTCTCGGAGAGGCGGCTTGATAAGGCTTGAAGCCGTTGAAAGGCGGACGTCCAGCGGAATTTTGTGCCAAGGCCGGATGGGGTCCGAAGGGTTTCAGTTCTGTAGCCCCTGCAGCCTGGCTTGAAAACTCCTGTCCGAGACGATCGTGCTCGCTGCCGGGCTCCAACATTCTACAATTCTAGATTCTAGAGTCTACATTTACTGCGTTGGATTCCAGCATCCAGGGTCGCATGTAGAAGCCGCTGGGGCAGAGCAGCCCGAGCTCAGGGAAGGGAATGTCTACCTGGCTTGTGAAGGACCTCTTTGTTCTGAAAGCGAACCTGATGACACATGCCGAGATGGCAAAAGGATCTCACACAGCTTACCTCATGATATCTCTGCATTTTGTCTGTCGCGAGAGCTGGAGATCTACATCCGCAAAGCAGCATGGTGCGTGGCTGCTGTCTGTCCGGCCGCTCACGTCCCAATACCTCATGTTCAGCAAGGGAAGACGGTGCATCTTATCTGCCCACCGATAGTCTCTGGCATGTTCAGTGTTGGCTATGGACCAGGCTACCCGAGGCCCGAACAGGTGGCGCTAACCTTGTGGCTGCGGAGGTGGCCTTCCTGGTCTTCTCCTGGCCCGATTTCTCCAGAAAGCGGCTCTCCTAGCGTCCTAAGTTTCAGGAAGTGTCTTGGCGGAGGGAGGCCACGTAGCATGTGCAGGTCCGAAGTCCGATGTTAGCCGGAAGCCAGCACTTCGAAGGAGGGGGGGAGCGAACCTCTTAACGACCAGGCTGTCCAGAGAAACGACTTTCAGATTTCGCAGCGGTCACACTAAGATGAAGATTCACCAGACTCGGCACTCAGCAGACCATCCCTTTTCAAAAGGCATCTTCGCTCTGCTAACAAGCCTGGCTCGAGGAGGTCTGTCTTTTTCCGGGCTCTTGATCCGGAGCTCGGTGTCTCTCCTGCACAGCAGAGTCCGAATTTGCAAGCGTTGCTCTCCTAGTGTAAACCGGAGGTCGCAGAAACTACGGACAAAGGGCTGCGGCCAATGTCCCGTTGGGTTGTCCAGCATCCACAGCCATTCGAAACACACCTTGCCTGCTTCGTAGCCTTTCGGTCCACTCGGTCAGCTTTCTGAATCTCCTGACACGACCGTAGGATGGTAGAGCAGCACACAGGCTCCGGATATATCAGTTGATTCTCGTCGTGACTTGACCAAGATAGCGAGTAACAAGTGCACACGTATGTACACGCCTTCCCCCCCCAACACACACAGAGACCGACACAGACGGGCACACGAAGCCGGACAACACCAAACTGTCAGAAACAGACGGTGGCCGCCTCAATGCGGCCCCTCATCTGGACTATGCCGACATCCAATCTCTCTTGAACAGAGAAGCAGAGACATGAGTCGAGCTAAGTTGACGGCCGGTCCTTCTCCGGCCCATCCTCGCCTGCATCTTGCCTGGACGTGAGCGAAGCTGTGAAGACCCGGAGACAACTCTGATGACAGGCTTTTGGGGGTTCCTGATACTCTAGCAAGTAAGGACGCCATTGCCTGGCGGGCTTGGAGGTCGCATCCCTTGCGTCCAGCCGCGGGAGGACTGCAGGCGCGGCCTTCGCCTTGCACCAGAAACATCATTGGGAGCACATTTCGGCATCAGCCAGTTCCTGTGCGAAAACATGCCAATTTCTGAAACCTCTAATCAATGCGAGGTCTCCTTCGGAGGACTTTTCCGCGGCTTGGCTTTCCTGGACTCCTGGCTAGCGGTGGGCATCGGGAGATTGATGGAAATTGAAGGCGAAGCTGCGCGGGGGCTGGACTTTGAGACCCACAATAAACCCTGCTGCCCTACATATCTGGGAGAGGCAACCTGCACGGCCTGAGCCTCCGACGTGGCCAACCTCTGAAGATTGATACATCCTACATCCGTTTCGAAGGCATCCTCCCACGGCACGAAGGCCTTCTCCTCCTTAGGAGGAAGGAGTGGCGGCAGCTGCAGGACGCCCTGCGTTCAACTCGAAAGCGGTAGGATTGATTGGGGCCTACACTCGCGCCATGTCATGTTGCCAGAAAGCGCGTGGCGCGACATGTTCGACGTCTTCCACTCCGAATCCGAACTGCTCGAATCCAATGTCGGCCCGCACTACGAAACCCTGGAAGGCTGCTGGCGCCTTGCTGTTGCCTGCAGGCCTTGTCGGTGCCCGGCTTTGTCTTGAAGCTTTCAACGGGACTTCCATTCAGACTCGACGACTTCGGGCTTTGGGGTTTCAGCTGCAGGCTGTCCCCCACGGGGTTTTTGTCAACCAAACCGTCAGACTGATTTTGGCTGATTGGGGCATTCCACGCCAGCAGACAGAGAGAGCAAGGGCGAGAGCCGCACTAAACACCGCCATCACCGCAAGTGAACTCTCACAACTTCTCACGGCGACCCTCACCCTCTGAAAAGTAGAGCTCCAGACCTCTTGCAGTCGACTTCTTCCTGGGAACAAGGGGTCAAGCTGTGCACTCAGGCGCCTACGGTTGTAGGGTTGGCGGTTTAGGATTTATGGATGTGGGAGGATGGAACCAGCCTACGGGTTCACAACGATCTCCAACTAGAATATGAGCAGGTGGTTGTGCGGCCTGGGCACAAAGTTTAAGTCAAGTTAACGACTTTTGGGCTTGACACTGCTTCTGTGTCTCACACACCATGCGCAGATCGGAATACGCAAAGACAAGCCATCTGGCACGTAATGTCATTTCTACCAGCATGTGTCACAGTACGCGACCCGGAGTTGGCTATCTGCTATCTGGGCTCTGAATCCGGAATTCACACTTCCGTGTGTGTCAGCCTGCAGCTGCCGCTCCAAATGCGCGAGGGGCGGCAATTTAACCTGCCAGGCAATCACCCCAACGGACACCTCAGATAAAAAGTATCGCCTCACGCCGGACTACATCTGCATGATTGTGTTTCGTCGGCCTAGCGGAGGAAGTAATTCACCGGAGCAAAAGGGTGAAAAGGGTGTTGTAACGTGCTCACTACCGATTTACGAAGATACGAAGTTTCGTCCTGCCGCAGCGTGAATTTTGTCGCCGAAAATTTGTCAAGCTGGCGGGCACGCGGAATTTAGCCTCTTCAAGATCTATGGCATGAGGGGTCTGGACACACAGATCTTTGATTTTGGGTACGCCTACCTCATCTTATACAAGACTAAGTGTGATCTACGGCTTGAAGGATGTGGACACAGAGCCTTTTGGTTTCAGACGCCTGTCCGAGAGAATCGCCAGGATTATTGCTTCGTGGCACTCGCCTATCTCGTCTCTGAATCAACAAATAAGCTGGCGCACAGCATGCCTCTAAAATGAGCTTGACTCGGGCCATGCTTTGTCATTGTTTTCCAACTGCTGAATATACTGCTCCATCAGCTGATTCCACGCAACCTGCCGAGTTGTTAGAGAGTGTAGGACCGAATTCAGTGCAAACCCATCCTCAAAAACAAGTCGCCTCAGCCTATGCCGTGCTCTATGCGATGCTTCACAAGCACAAGTGTGGGAAGAGTTCACTCACAGGAACACCTGGGTGGTTGTCCAGATTGGGGTTTCTTTTGACTCCCAAACTCCCAAACTACAGGGTTCCCTAACCGGGAACATAATGACAGTTGCCCACCTGGCCTTACCATCTCTTGGAGAATCCGGTTGTCCGCCAAGCCTCGGGCCGCCGCCCCATTCACATTAAGGCCGAATGCACGACGCGACCCTCTGGGCCACCAGAGTCTAGTCCCAAGCTGCGGAGAATCAGGTCGCGGAGAGTTCAATGTCAGTCAACGACAGGGAGCTCTGACGCTTCCCCTTTCGACCGAGGGGCCCTGAACCAGGGCCTTGCCAAAAAGGACTCTCGCTCCCACTGGGGGCTACGCTCGCCACAGAAAAACCACTGGCCCAAAAGCGCCTTCTGCTTACGCGGCTTCCTCGTGGCTTTGGGGGTTTGCAAGTCAGGGTTCGGGATTAGGCATGATGGGTCCGTAAACCTGGAACCCAAAAGACACCCGAAATCCTAAGCCAGGCACAGTAATGAAAAGGGAAACTTTGTTAGACCACACGGAAATCTACGGATGACGACAGATCTGTCACCGACTCACAGTTTGACGTCAGCAACATCTCGTCAACAGCACCCCAACACTGCTTAAAAATCAGAAGCAAAGGCTCTCGCATTGCTTGCCCAAATCTGAGGGCTTGAGCTAAGAGGTACGTGTGTTGCTTGCACAACCGCTTTCAGTGAAAGACGTATGTAGTTCTCACCTAATTAACTCTTATTTGGAGTCTTAATGTAGAGTGCTCTATCGGGACTCCAAAGGCAAACCCTTATCTAGACTCACCCGAAGCGGTCATGGCAATGACCCATCGTCACTGGCTGCAGCCACGCGAAAGCAACCACCTGCAGGCGCTTGGCCGTTTCAGACCCTCTGCGCTCCGTTGTTTGGCAGGTAATCAGTTCCACGTACTCTGATATGGGCAGAAACGGGCGGGCGGACCCTGTCCCTCAAGCATGAAAGCTCTGTATCAGCCCGAGCGCCTGGAATGGGCATGTGCTGAAGCTGCCACCATGCTGGCGCTCTGTCTTGTCTGTCTAGAAGCAGAGCTTGTGCTTTTGAAGGGATTGAGCTGCAAGCACGTGCCTTCATTGAGGGATGCATTCAAGACTAGTTTGTGTAACGGAGCACCATCTGCTACCACTGTTACATTGCCACATTTTGTTCAGCTTGCTCGTGGTTCCTGGGCGGCTGAGCCTCGTAGCAGTGCTGATACCAAATCGAACTTTTCCCGGTTCGAAGCCGACTTCTCAAAATTCATGCACTGCCCTTGGATGCGAATCGCATGAAACGGAAGCCGCATCTCTGTCTGATCGATGTATGGGTCTGCTTCACGGCTTGTGGTGGGGGGAGGAAAGACGAATGGAAAGCCGGACCATCTGTGACGATCACAACACTCAGACCCCGGGTTACTGAAATTGAAAACCTCGGTTTTGAGCCACGCGCAGGCGCTGGCACTGTCTAGCATGCCAACATCCACCCATCGTGGTGGAAGCGGTCCGAACTACTCCAGCGGTTTTCGCTGACATGGAAGTGTCTTGCAGTTGCCTTAACATTTTTGCTCCATTGTTGCAGCGTTCAGGCTGATGCGAGTCCCTACTCTATGTGAGCATGTCAAGGCAGCTGATGCTAGCGGAAGGAGCAAAGTCCCAAGATTTTAGACCATGCAACGTCTGCAAGCAAGATGCTCTTGCCCAGAAACTCCCGATACTCTGATCTATCGGGCCAATGTTGCGGCCAGCCAACTCTGCTTGGCCATTTGGCCCGACACTGTGCTCCTAGACTTACAGAAAGGTACTACGCTCTCCTGACTTCCACTTCCACCGAGGACAAGATCCAATTGCCCATTTAATGCGAGGCTGGGGCTTGCAAGCTCCAGCTGTTTACAAGTAACCTGAAGCCCTCCCCTCTTCAGGAAACCTCGACATCTGACACGGTCCGACACCCAGCTGACTTGCCACTATCATGCGATGTGCTATACTCCCCTTGGCACGGGGTTTGTGTCTGTCAGGGTTGGCCGGCGGTGAAGCTACGCTGCGGCTCATCCCCTTGCCACTGGATTTTCAGAAGAGGCCCGCAGAACCGAACTGCCTGAGATCTATGGACCGACAAATGGGAGTTTTCGAAAATAGGGGACCCCAATATAGAAGCCTAAATCATGGGATCCTTATTACAAGGACCCCAAAATAAGGCACCCCTAATTTTCGGAAACTCCCATATCGGGCTACGGCTGCCCAGGATTGGTTAAGTGGTGCTTCGGTCAGATGTCATGTCCAATTCCCACAGCTTCACGATTCACAACTGTGAACACAACCAAGAACGGTCGAGAACCCTGCGTTCGAAACGATGCAAGTGTGCTGCGTCAATGTGCGGATGGCTTGAATCCGGGGGACTTTCCGAAGCCTGTGGTAAAAAACACAACGGCAACTGTAACTACAGATAGCAGTTGGCAAAATGCAGCCGAGATGCCACCAACTGAAAAAACGTTCTGCCGGCTCATGGACATTTCCTGGGCCTGTCCGGAAAGAGGGCTCAAGCAGAACTTAGAGTATGTTCCGCCTTCGTCGGATATGGTGAGGCCTGTACCGCTTGCCACTTATTGGAGGTGTTGCTGCACCAGCTACCGTTCCATCCAACCAGATTGATAATGCTTGCCGGAAAGGCGCACCTTGCACATGAAGGACTCGCAGCATGCGTGCTGCTCCATAGTCTTTCTATCGCTGCAGCTGTGATTCATTGATTAATCCAATCCGCAATTACCCAGTGGCGCCGGTCATATAGAAACTACAGCCGCCCACCCATGCCTATGTCAATAGTTTCAACAGTACGTGAACGGCACTTCGGCGTCAGCCCTGGTTACCTAACCTTTGCCGACCCTATAGGGCATGGACAGATTATGGCATGGCTGCTTGGCCACGGCGGGAACCCGGATCGACCTACGTATTGTAGAAAGCTTCCTGCTGTTGCTTCCATTCCCGTTGGCAACAAGAAGCCGCTGTTGCAGGACTTGCCTTGTGCATCAGTTCGCCTGCGAACCTACTGACATGCAACCCGGATGTCCCGACCGTCCAAGCGCATGACGGGCATCCGCTATTGACCCGTCTGTGCCAGTGCATCCCTCATGTTTGTTTGCGACTTGTCCAGTTGTGATTAATCCCTCCTCACATTTGATTCCAAAGACCCCGGGCTCAGCGGGTGTAAAAACAAGCTGCCCGATGATAGCAGCAGGTGCGCCATGCAATTCTTTCGTTGGCTTGCACTGGTTAGTCTTCATCTGCGTTGTCGAGGCCACATCAAAAGCATGCTCTCAAAGCTACCGCTGCTACTTGTGAGCTCGTTCAGCCCCCAGGATCTGCACCTGGACCTTGCTGGTTTGCCCTAACATATTTACGTACTTGAGCGACATGCTCGGTGCTGGACCACCTTCGCCAACACTACGGAAGGACAAAAGGATAAGAGCAATGAAAGATGAGGATCATAAGGCATTCTGCCGGTTGCTCGCGGAAACGCTTGCGGCTTGGGTGCTTGACATCTGCAGCCTGCTCGAAGTCTTTGCATGAACGTGTCCCCCCCCTTCAGGCAATGCATGTAGCCTGCCAGTGATGATGCAAGTTGTCCAGACCTTGCACGAGAATGTGCGAAGCGGAGCGTTTTCTGGGGTCCGGGTC